CTGGGGCTATTCTTTGACAATGTATGTTGTCCTATGCCAGTGTATGCCTTGAACAGTATCCCATCATTTGAGGGCTGGACAGGAAGCGGTTTTTTTCAATGGTTCTCCACGAAACCACTGGGTTCTCCCACTTTCAGTTTTATGGTGAACCTGGGTAGAAGGACCTGGATAGAAAGGATGTCTGAGGAGAGATTAAATCACACAAGCTCTTAGGCCACCCTTTACTACACCTAGTTGTAATTCTATGGGGGGAAGGTAAGGACTGTGTAATAACGCACAGCCCTGACCTACAAGGATGAGAAGCCTACTCCCTCACAACCATCCATCATTGTCTATGTGCCAGCATTGGACATCCTGCAATGAAAATTTTGGCCAGGGCCACTGCTTCAGTACAGGTCTTAAGGCTGTGCTCTCATACACAGTACTGCACCTCCAGGGACAGGATGCTCAAGAACTGCTCCAGCATCAGCTGCTTCTTGGTGTGTCACAGGGATGGCAGACAGCATCAGTGCAGTGCACAGCTATGCACCTTCTTTGGCTTCACAGGCTTCCAAAATCCTATACCTTGCCTTCTCAATTCAAATCCTAAATTAATCCTGTCCCTTATCTGTAATCTGAATTCTTAATTAATCCCAACTCCCAATTTAAAGCCTAATTTGAACCCTATTCCAACTCCAAATCCTAACCCTTTTTCTAAATTCAGCTACCCCTCAATCTGTTTGAATCCTTAACCCTTTACCTTAAACCCAAAATTTCCATCAGTGCAGCCTTCCTCACTGATTTCTTCTCATGCTCGAATCTGCCTCATGTAGAGTATAAGAAACTAGTCTTACAGAATCACAGAATCATCCAGGTTGGAAGAGACCTCCAAGATCACCTAGTCCAACCTCTGACCTAATGCTAACAAGTCCTCCACTAAACCATATCCCTAAGCTCTACATCTAAATGTCTTATAAAGACCTCCAGGGACAGTGACTCAACCACTTCCCTGGGCAGCCCATTCCAATGCCTAACAACCCTTTTGGTGAAGTTTTTCCTAATATCCAACCTAAACCTCCCCTGATGCAACTTCAGCCCCTTCCCCCTTGTCCTATCACTGGGCACATGGGAGAACAGGCCAACCCCCACCTCACTACAGCCTCCTTTGAGGTATCTGTAGAGAGCGATAAGGTCACCCCTGAGCCTCCTCTTCTCCAGGCTGAACAAGCCCAGCTCCTTCAGCCGCTCCTCGTAGGACTTGTTCTCCAGACCCCTCACCAGCTTGGTTGCCCTTCTCTGGACATGCTTGAGCACCTCAATGTCCTTCTTGCAGTGAGGGGCCCAAAGTTGAACACAGTACTCGAGGTAAACAAGTACCTCTGTCCCTTCACAGCCTTATCAAATATCTGTTTGTTTCACTACTTCCTTCCCACTGTCATTTCTTGTTCTACTTCTAGAAAGGCAATTTGTCCTAGATTACAGAATCAAAGTAAGAAAGGACCAGATTGTTGAATTAATTAATTGTCCTGGAGTGGAACTAGACATGTGTCCTGGTTTCAGCTAGGATAGAGTTAATTTTCCTCTTAGTAGCTGGTAAGGTGCTGTTTTTGGAATTTAGGATGAGAATAATGTTGATATCACACTGATGTTTCAATTGTTGCAGAGCAGTGCTTACACTAAGCCAAGGACTTTTCAGCTTCTCACACTGTTCTGCAGGCAGGCTGGGGGGTGCTGCAGGAGCTGGGAGGGGACAGACACAGGACAGCTGACCCAAACTGGCCAAAGGGGTATTCCATCCCATCAGGGGTCATGCTGAACAATTAATATGGAGGGGGCTGGCCAGGGTGGGGAGGCAGCTGCTCGGGGATAGGCTGGGCATCGGTCAGCGCGTGGTAAGCAATTGCATTGTGCATCACTTGTTTTGTATGCATTATTCTTATTCTTATTCTTATTCTTATTCTTATTCTTATTCTTATTCTTATTCTTCTTCTTCTTATTATTATTATTATTATTATTTTCCCTTTCTTTCCTGTCCCAATAAACTGTCTTTATCTAAACCCACAGGTTTTCATTTCTTTCTAATTCTCTCCCTTATCCCAGAGAGGGAGGAGGTAGGGTAAGCGAATGGCTGTGTGGTGCTTAGCTGCCGGTCAGGTTAAACCATAACATGTCTAAAGTCTAAGCACACTCTAAAGGGGAAAAAGAAAAAGGGGGAAAAAAAAAAAAAGTAATTGGGTAAGGAAAAAAATGTAATTGGGCAAGAACAACTGAAGCATGAACACAGGGCAGGAGCAGCACAGTGTTTCACAGTCCATTTAAGTGATTGAAATGAAAGGTGATAAAGAGAGTGTTCAGGTAGAATAGGTGCAACATTTGGAAAGGGAACATACTACTTAAAACCTATAGAACTATATGAAATGCATAGAAGATTGCCTGCAAATGGCACAGCACACATAAGACAGGAGGATAAAGACACAGCGGCTGTCAGGGAGCAGTAAGAGGTGGGTGACTGCTCCCTAGGGGACACAGCCAGCAGCAGAGCATGGTAGCGTGCCTGATAAGGCAGAGGCCTCCCTGACCGAGGGCCAGCCAAGCAGTACTAGAACAAGGCAAGCAAAACAAACCTGGAGCAGGTAGCCATCTTCAGCCGAGTCCAACTCATCAGACAAGCTCATGGCTATAAGGCACATCTAAAGGCAAGCCTTGAAGTCAGTCTACCTGACAGGAGTAACATGCCCCTCAGCAAGGTGTTGTTACAGCCAAGCAGGAAACGCACAACTGCGATATAACCCGTACAGGAGCCAGATGATCAGGCCTACCTGAGCTTACATTGAGACCCTGGAACAATGGGCAAAGTGTGTAAGTTTGACAGTGATTAGTATGTACCCAGCTGTGTTGGGAGAAGGGAGACCAAAATAAAGGGTAACAACCAGCCTCAAGTTTTAGAAGGCATGTAGTATGAATCACTGCTATGAGGACAAAAATTTTGTGGATGTACATGAACCAGGTGTTAAAGCCTGCAAGCTGGTCAAGTGAATTTTGACAGCAAAGTACCTCAGCCTGAAGTAGTTATAGTCAAGCTACCCAGCTTTGTCATGCCCTAAAATTTGGATACTTTGATTAGCTCTGCATTGACTGTCTTAATTTTGAGTTGAACCCAATTTTTGTAACAGAATTACTCTATCTAAGTTTATCTAACTTCTGCCTTCCAACTCCGCTTGCAAAAAGCAACTATAATATGATCATTCTAATCTCTCTTTTTGCATTTATCCACATTCTTCGCATTGTACTCAGTAGTGCTCAGTTTACTCTGAGAAAACTAAAAAAGCATCAGGATACTAAACTGTAAATCTTAATTCCTTCTCTGAAGCCTGGAAAAACAGCCTGCCTGTTGCTGCTCTAAAAGGAAGGGGATAAAAATGCATAGGACTGTTGTTACTATAAGATATGATTGCTGTTATTGCTACTTGCTTTTCCACAGAATCATCTAGGTTGGAAGACACCTCCAAGGTCACCAAGTCCAACTTCTGATCTAACACTAACAAGTCCTCCACTAAACTCCCTTTCCAGGAATTGTGTAAACACTTTTTTTCAAGTGCAAAATTAAATTTTGTCTCAGATACTGAAATTTCCTACATAAACTTCCAAATGGAAATTTCCCCACTCTAGTTGGAGTATCTAGATAGACATTTATGGGTTTTTAACATCTGTTTGCTTTCTTCTAGAGCATCTGTTTCTTCTTTCTTTCCTGGAGAAAAGGAGGCTCAGGGGCGACCTTATTGCTCTCTACAGGTACCTTAAAGGAGGCTGTAGAGAGGTGGGGGTTGGCCTGTTCTCCCACGTGCCTGGTGACAGGATGAGGGGGAATGGGCTTAAGTTGCACCAGGGGAGTTTTAGGTTGGATGTTAGGAAGAACTTCTTTACCGAAAGGGTTGTTAGGCACTGGAACAGGCTGCCCAGGGAGGTGGTGGAGTCACCATCCCTGGAAGTCTTTAAAAGACGTTTAGATGTAGAGCTTAGGGATATGGTTTAGTGGGGACTGTTAGTGTTAGGTTAGAGGTTGGACTCGATGATCTTGAGGTCTCTTCCAACCTAGAAATTCTGTGATTCTGTGATTCTCAAAAAAAGGTTACTACTTCTGCTTCCCATTTCACTCAGTTGCTAAAATAATTCTAGGCCTTCCTTTCCTTTTTTACATTCTCTCTTCTTTTTAGTCTTCACCCACCCCACTTCTTGATATTGTTCTCTCTTGACAGTCTATTGAGCTAAGAAATTTTGACCCTTAAAACAAACAAATAAAAACTCTTCATTGAGCTGGTGAATTGCAGCTTGTTCATCCTGTCAAATGTTTCTAATATTATTGGTTGTTTGTATGGAACCTCTGTTGGAAGTCTGCTAGCTGTTTGCATAGCTTTCTCCAGCCTCCTCTCAGCATCCAAGCTCTAGCCCCAGCTGCAACTTCTTTATTGATTAAAACTAATAATAATGGTGCTAATTGTACACCGAATAACCAAGCAAGAAACCAGACCTCTCCAATGTTAAGGATTTCCCATCTTCATCACTTATTCATTATGGAAACAGCACCAGAAGATTAAACTTGGTGACACAGCTCTCATTGTTGTCAAGTCCACTTAAAACCTGTATGTGTATGCCCCTCCTTATGCGTGTGCACATACATGTGGACAGAAATCCAGAAACTTGAGACCATGAGAGTCTTCATCAGGAGTAAGAAGAAACCAACTGCACCAAATTATCCCTCATATCAGTAGCAGAGCCCAGAGAGTAACATCTCATGTATCACTTCCACACCATGGACTGGTGTAAATGTGTGTCATTAATTGGCCTTGGATTGATCTGTAGTTCCCAGGTCTCTAAGCAGTTTCCCATAGAAAGTGAGATCTTCCTAATCCTTAGGTAAAATTTTCTGTAAAAGAAATGTGTGAAAAAAATCTTCCAGCATTACTTTTACACAAAAGAAATGAAGTTTTCTTTTTTAAGAGGCATAAGGTAAGGGCAAGAGGTACAAAGAAACAAAGTATTTATTGTTAAAAGCTTTTCTACGACTCACTCAGCATCCAACAGTGAAGATAAGGTGACTACAGAGCAGAGGGAGTCTCTCCCCCACCTCTCCTTATGCATGTATTTGCTCACTCCCAAACCCACAGTTTTCTTTTTAATGGAGTACTTTTCTTCAGTGAGATCAGAAAAGGTGTTTATCATACAGGATCTGGCAGAACAGATACAGCCTATTAAACAACAGAGCAGTTACAGAAAGGAGACCTCCTTATTCAGGAAGAAAGGAGCCTTTTTTTTCCCCACTCATCTCTTTGCACTGCCATTAAAAGGGCTCTCAACACAAAGAGGTTAAAAAGGAAAGAAAAAGAAAAAGAAAAAGAAAAAGAAAAAGAAAAAGAAAAAGAAAAAGAAAAGAAAAAGAAAAAGAAAAAGAAAAAGAAAAGAAAAAGAAAAAGAAAAAAGAAAAGAAACCACCACCTGACTACATTTTAAGCAAAATTCGAAGCCCTAGGATATACACCAATAATTTCACTCAGCTTCATCAGAATAAATTCTAAACAGTGTGGTGTAGAAAAGCTGTCAGCTGAAACCATGCGTGCACTAGAACTGCCAATGCTGATAAGTGAAATAGCTGAATCCCTACTGATAACAGTAGGAGTTTTGGCAATGTGTCTCAGAACTTAAATGCAGAACATTTGGCTGTACCCTGCATGCCCATTTCCCAAGCTCTATACCAGTTGAGACTGACTCTTGCTCCTGCCCTCTATATGTATACATATACACATGCACACAAAATATACAAAATCACATAGACTGTGCTAGTTCCAACATTAATCTGCATGTTATCCTGTGCTTTGACTTAATGGCACTTCAGTGGCTCCCACCTTTCTCTTTCCTTTTACCACTGCTGTATTCTCCTCTCTATTCTGGCACTTTGCTTCCACAAACACTTGTTTTTCCTTTAACTGCCATGCCAACGCTTCAGCTCCAAGATATATTTCCCTTCTACTGGTACTCCAGGAATTGTTTTAACCTTGTCCTAGTTTTATGCTATATTTTCTAACAATCATCTATATTGTCATCTATAAATTTAACTACATCTATGCACATATATATATTTTTTTATTGCAGTATGCACAGATTTGTATCGTACCGTGGCAGAAACCAAAGACCACAAGTAACAGTCTTGTCATCTTTAACACCCAAAAAAGCCCCCCATCCTGAAATTAAAATAAATTTATCATTCAAAATCTGCTGGAATTACATGCCTATTCAGTACTACCGACTTTCATTTCCACATGCCCAAGCTGCATTTGGTCCAGTTCCTCCCAGAATTGTCCAATTGTTTCTCCTCAAATATAATGTCTGTTTTTGCTAAAAGCAAGCTCCTGGCTACACTCCTGGAATGGAAGATAACATTTCTCTCTCTGTCTCTTCAGTAAAAGGCTCAAACTGCTTCTGAGCATGGAATAAAAGAATCAAAATCTCAAACACCATTTTAATCAAAATGAAGACACCTGACAGCTATTCCTAAGACTCTTCTTTGGTGACAAGTCTTTTCATGGGCAGGAAGAATATGTACAGTGAGATATATGAATTTTGGATTCGTATTTTCGAATTTTGGATTGCTATGTACAGTGGCCAAATCATGCACGAGCATGCGTGTGCACAAACACATACGTGTGTATACACTTCAGCATAGCATTGGTGCTTAACATTGCTTCACATTCCAGCGGTGCTGCTTGGAATGCACTGGTCAGCAACACATTGTTTCATTACTTTGTTCTGAAAGAGGCTTGGAAACAGACCTATACAATTATTTTTAAAGAGAGATTCTAAAAGCAGATTGGGCTCCATTATTTTGCCAGCTGTGGCATATGACTGGATTTTTTCTGTACAAATATTTGCCATTCATATGGCAAAGTTCTCAAAAATAAAATTCACTGGCAGACATCCTGCAGGCATCTATCCCACCCCATTCCTTTCTCATATCCTCGTTTATTTTTCTCGGCATTTATTACTCCTGGAGATCTGAATACATCCCCTGAATGTAGCTGCTCTGTTTACCACATACAGAAAAAGTTTTATACACTGGACAGCATGCACACAACTGACACAGCAGCGTAACAAATACGGAAGCACAGTAGCAGATGATCCCCACTGTTTTCCCTCAGTGTTTGCTGGTAGTCCAATTAGCAGAGTCCTACAGCACATAAGATTTTAAGTTGTTAACTGTTTGGCAACCTCTCAGTCTCTACCAATTTAAGACTGCAGGATTTCAGGTTTTAGTGTAAAAAAGAGGTTATAACACACACACAAAAAAATCCAAGCCAAGCCATTCCCAGGAAAAGGCCTTGGGCAAAGAGGTACAGCTGTGCTTTTCCTTACACCAGTGGTTTTGCATGGTTGTACTGCCATCATATGACCAATCATATGTAAATTTTTCAAGACACCTCTGAACGCAGTGGACAGAGTAAAAGCTATGGCACTGGTAATGTGAAAGCAGAGGTATTAAATAAAGGGGTGGGAGGGAAGACTCTCTCTTCTGTGACTAGACAGAAGAAACTTTTCTTTCAAATATGAAAGAAATCAGCAAAGACAGCAGAAGAGAAAAGGACAATACCATAGCAAAATTAATTACTTAGAAGAGCTGCCTCCCTTCCTTAACACATGTGAACTTGACTCTCTTTCCAGGAAAGTGAAAGAAAGGAGATGAAGAGGAGAAGCCTAGAAAAGGATTTTGAGTGCTACATTATCAGGACACAGTTATACTTTGGCAGCTGCTTTTTAGACTAGAAAACATGCTGGATCATTAATTACAAACCAATCTATGCACTACAAAAGGTGGAATGGGGGGAAGGATTTAATGAAGATGTCCCTGGTTCCAGCTAAATATGTTGTAATTCTGATAGTCTGAATTTGTCATATATTTGAAAACAAGGTGATTTCTAAGGGATAGTTCCTCTATGCTATTTAAGGCTTCAAAACTCACCAGCATCTTATACAACTAGCACATATCATGTATGGGGGAACTGAATAGGAAGAGGCAGTTTACCTATGATCAAAATGTGAGACTAATCCAGGAACTCTGTTGACATCTTGAAGTAAAGAGAAAACTGCCATGTTACATGAAGTTTAAGCCTCTTGGATTCTAAATCAACTTAACAGTTAGGGAAGTTTTTTTTCAGTCCTGATCCCTAATGGCACACAAGGAGAGAAATGTTTAAGAAATCTCGTATTTTACCTATAGACTTATTGTTAATATCCACTGTGTTCAAGGCAGATATCAGCAAAGCACCATTAGGTTATTTGCATTTTCTAAGAATGCCTTTTTTCTTGCTTCAACTTCAGCTTTTCTAACCCCACTGATACTAAGAATGCCTAAGAGGCTCTCATGCTGGAGATAGTTTTCTTCCTCTTCGTACTGCATGTTGATCATACCCATGAGACTGTCTAGTGATACATAATTCAGTCTACCTTTCACTGCAGGGGCAAGGGAAAGAGGAAGTATTAAAGTTTGCAGAAGAAATGTCCTGACTATATTTTTTCCTTCCAGAGAGGCTCTTCATTCTAGGATTGAAAATCATCCTAGTTTGTTATTTCACACGGTGTGATGGCTTCTTATACTGGTCCAGCTGAAGTGAAAACTCTGTTCAGGAACGCAAAGCATTCCACAGCTATCAGGACTATCTTGTCTTATTCCAGAGAAGTTACTATTTGAGAATCTTAGGTAACAGAATGAGAATTACCTTTATTTCTCTTAATCTGTAGTCTCCTACAACACTCAACTCAACCTCCCCCATCAATACCACCCATGATTCTATGCATAGCCCATAAGGATTTGCTGTGTAGTGTCTGAACTTTCCACTGGAACTCAATGATGCCGGTTGATGAATGAATCTTTAATCTTCTTTAACATTGACACCTGTATGGAGCACAGGAATCTTCTGCTGTCTATGGCCTGGAATGGTTTGAGACACCTCCCGTGGGCAGTTTTTTCAAAGGTCACTCTAAAGCTGGTGTTCTGACTGGTTTGTCGATGGTACATTCCCATCCAGTCAGGAAGCAGGTCCATGTGTAACAGTGAGCTAAGTAACACTGAGAAGTCCACTCGTTCTGTGGTCATGATGCCAATGGGATCTTTTGAGCAATACTTATGTGTTGCGCACTCCCAGAGACTGTTCCAGTTCCTGCCGGCGCTGCTGAATCTGAAAGAAAAAGAGAAACTGTGCAGTTCAGCAGATTCTATTGTTCAGTGGTAGGATGACTCATTTATGAACTATCCACGTGGCTAATTCCTTCACACCTTGCAGTAGAAATATCTGCTCACAGCCTCTTGAGACCATGGCTCATGATAAAATTCAGCTCTGCGTTCTTCCTCTGGGTTTCCAACTACATCAGTCATCACCTGTGACAAAAATAAAAATACTTTTCACTATAGCTATTCTACCACATGGAGAAACATTTACATTTACCTAGAGTCAAAAATTAATGACACTACTGCATTAAAATTCTCAGGACTGATCTCTATGCCCAAGGCAAATGGACAATGGCATGCATTGGACATAGCCTTGAAGAGGAAAGGGACCTGGGAGTGTTGATCAATGCTCAGCTGAACATGAGCTATCAGTGTGCTCAGGTGGCCAAGAAGGCCAACGACATCCTGGCCTGTATTAGAAATAGTGTAGCCAGCAGGAGCAGGAAGTGATTGTCCTCCTGTACTCAGCTTTGGTGAGGCCGCACATCAAGTACTGGGTTCAGTTTTGGGCCCCTCACTACAAGGAGGACATTGAGACCCTGGAGTGTGTCCAGGGCAACAAAACTGGTGAGGGTTCTGGAGAATAAGTCTTATGAGGACCAGCTGAGGGAGCTGGGATTGTTTAGCCTGGGGAAGAGGAGGCTCAGGGGAGACCTCATTGCACTCTACAACTTCCTGAAGGGAGGTTGTGATGGGGAGGGGGTTGGCCTCTTCTCTCAGATAACTAATGATAGGACTGGAGGAAATGGCCACAAGTTGTGCCTGGGGAGATTTAGATTAGGTATCAGGAAAAACTTTTTCTCTCAAAGAGTGGTCAGGTACTGGAACGGCCTGCCCAGGGAGGTGGTGGAGTCACCATCCCTCACAGTGTTCAAGAAGTGCCTGGACAAGGTGCTACAAGGTATAATGTAGTAGCTTAGTGGGAAGTACTGGTGATAGGAGGACGGTTGGACTAGATGATTTTGTAGGTCCTTTCCAACCTTGTGTTTCTATGATTCTATGACTCTCTAATTCATGGTTACTGCCAAAACAAGGTGTCCACATCCAAACTGAACAGCTCCTAACATTTGCTTCTAGGCTGTGCTAAGGAGTCATTCAGGACTGGCCAGACTAAATGCCACAGATCTCTAACATTTTAACAGCGTTGACAGTTTAGTTCCAGGGTCCCAGGAAAAGTACCCTAGCACTGTATATTTTACTTGCAGATATATCCAAAGAACCTTGGCACAACTGTAAACAACAGGAAATTGTGAAGGTATTCATGTCAGACTGAAATGTAAAATTATTGGCATATTCTGCAGGGTACTGTTTTACAACGTCAGTTCTGATGCCAGCAGGGCAGAGTATTACCAAAAAGGCCCTTTTGGAACTGGATGTCAGTCAGGGAGAGCATTGAACAACTGTTCCATATATGCAACTAGAGAAGCACCACCACCACACTTCAGTTTGTAAGCTCTTCAAGCTACAAGTATATTTAAACATTATTTTAGATGTCCATTCCCTTTCTGAATATAAAGAATAACAACAATCATAATCTTAACAGTAAATCTTTGCAAGATTATTGATTAACAAACAAGACATTTATATTTGAAAGATAATTATTACATAAAAATAATTTCCTGACTTCATTAACATAATGGGTCTTGATGCGTCTGATTTAAAGATACAAAGTGTGAAACTTTATGAGAAAAATATTCTTTTTGGCTGGCAAACAAATGAAATTCCTTACATTACATACCTTGGGTTTCTCAAAACTAAACTCAAAGGCATCTGATACTTATTCTGCTATTTCTTAAATAAGATTACATTTTGAAAACTAATAAAACACCCAAATAGTGTTATTTTGCTATAGGATCCTCCTGATCAGTTTTATATAGCTTTAATTTTACAGAGTACACCAACACATCTCTGCACTTTGATCTTACTGTCTAACCACAAATTCACCTACAATCCCCATTATGCACTGCTATACCACTAGAAGAGAAATACAGCCTAACCGGTCTTTCCTGCATACTTTCTGCTCTGGGATAGCAGTATTACACTCATCGTTTTTTCCACCAATTTTCCATCCTGGATATTTTAGCTATACATCTGTACACATTTAACTAATGTTCTTACATTCTGGTTTCACTTCTTCATTCTTCTTCAACCTTAGCTCACCTTAAGATCCCTACTTTGGGATCGAAGAAGGTCTTGGATGTACCCTTTAGGATCTTTGGAGAAACTCAGCATGAAATCACGTTGTATTTTTAACTGATTTATGGATTCGATTGTCTCATGAATCTGAAGAAAAAAACAAAGCAGATGTTCTTTAATTCCTCTCATGTTTCTGCAACCCTGAGGTCAGTCCTGTTAATGTCTTTGTAGTTCTCTGTAATATACAAAGGTGACAATTCTACACCAAAGACTCATCCCATGGAATTTTCTCTTCAGAGTGGGAGTTAACCCTAGTGTTGCAATTACATTTTGGTTTCACATGTATTTTTGCAACATAAGCACATACAGGATTCTTCTTCACTTCCTGCACTGAACTACTGGATGGCACGCTACATGCAATACTGAAGAGCTAAGTCATGTCACTGTATAATGCAATGATTTCCTGTGTATAAGCAGTCTTTTTGAGAAGTCAGGGATTCTTCTGGAAAGGTGCTATATAATGTCTTTACGTATTGCCCAATGCAAGAAAGCAGTTACTCCCTTGGTCAGTCAACATTATACCTTCAATATCCTGTGGTGATGCCTAAACTTTGTTCTAGTGATCGCCCAATCAAATCCATGTTAAATAAACTTACAGAACAGCCATGACTTCTAGAATTTTTCTTGTAAGAAAGACTATTAACGTCACCATGGCTACAAAAGGAGTGTGAATAATGAGAAACTGTGAGTATGGAAGGTTTATAGAAAATGAGTCATATCATCAAAAATATTATGAAAGAAATGGTCATTAACTAGCAGAGAAGAATATACACTACAAAGAGGAGTCAAGGTATGTTAATCAACCTGGATAACAAAATCAATTGTGATCAATGGGAGGACAACTAATGAATCATTTGCACATACCCAAACAGAAAAGCAACCTCTTACTATCCTGTTTCTCTAACATTCTGTTTTGAGATTGCAGACCCATCTTGTTAAATCTCCTGTCCACATCTATTTTGCCAAAACATCTACTGTGGCCAGACACAGAGGGAGGAAAATAATCCTCCCATGATCCGGCTATGCCACTAAGGGCATTGTAGGCAGAACTGTATGGTATGTTAACAGAAGAGAATGGCTGTCAACTTAAAATGTTCCTCATGTGGGAAAATGATGTAGCCAATGCTAGAGAGAAATCTCCTATTGGTGTGCACCAGTTTTCCACTAGGTGACTTACCCAGAAGTGACATCAGTAACTTCACTAATCACAGCTTGCACTCTGCTGCAGAAAATGCTCAATAAAAAGGTGATAAAGACATGGTAAAGGGGGAGCTGGACTGGAAACATAATAATCCTTAGCATGCTGCATGAAAGCACATATAGGCTGGAAACTAACTGGCTGAGCACCTGCTCTGCTGAAACCTTTTGCTTTGACCTTTTCCAAGAACCACAGAATGGCAGATCTTGCAACGGTTACCAAAAATCTGCAGGACTGCTGGTATCCAAACTCTCTTTAAAACAGTATGAGGACAACAGTTTAACAAATTTGTGTTAGATGTAAACAAACAGAAACTTATCATGACTCTGTATCACATGAATAATCTCTGGTCCATGATATCACACTTCTTCCCTTGGTTTGTGGAGCCACTTTTATTTATCCTTTGCCAGGGCAAATTAGCCATTTACACTCGTGCAAAAAACTGGCTAACAGTCCCCTTCCCTTGACATGAATCTCTAATGCAGCCTGCAGAGCTCACCACTGCTATAAGAGAGGTATGGTTATTTTAAGTGCACATAATCTTTGTTCAATAAACCAGGAAACAATTCTGCAAAACCGTTCCAAGTGATTTTTCTACTATTAATTTTCTACAGTTGCAGCTAGTCTAGTGAGCTGCTCTGCAGCAATGCAATGCCCAGCACACTAAAAGAATATGAGATTCTCTTAGCTTCTCCTCATATCAATATAGCAAGACACTATGACCTCTCAATAAAATGTTGTATGTAGTCTAGGGACCTTCTAGGGACCTATAGTCTTGAAGGTACCTTCAAGATCATCTACTTCCAACCCCCCTTGCCATGGCAGGGGCACCTTCCACCAGACCAGGTTGCTCAAAGCCCCATCCAACCTGGCATTCATCACTTCCAGGGATGGGGCAACTAGGATGGATACAGACTTATCAATTTGCACTTCCGCAAAAAAAATTGCTCCTGTTATTCTTCCACAGCTAATCCTTCTTCATAACCCCAAGTCTTTTGAGTATCAAAACTTTCCCACTACTTCTCTAACTCAGCCTAGGCAACTTTGTTCTCATCTTCAATTTTTTAGCATCTCTGGTTCCCATATCCAAATAATGTCTGACTTTATTTTTTTTTCTCATATTTTTTCTAAGATAGAGATTTTCATATCATAAGACGCAGAAGTTAAAATTCCTGTAATACGTTTTAATTACAATTACATTTTTCTCTTTGGTCTTGCTAACTGTAATCCCACCTTATTTATATCCAGAAGAAGGCTGCTGCTGCTTGCTATGCTTACCAAACACCTTCTTTACTTTCCTTAGTTGCTTCTGATTCTCAGCATAACAAAAAGAAAAAAAAAATCTGTGATGCCAGTCTTAATTGTCTACTTCTTATATTTTCAAAGCTGCATCTTTTTTTTTTTTTTTTTTTTTTTTTGTGCCAGATTAGAAGGAAGTAAGATCTGGATGTAAAATACTAGGTGGTGATTTGACTGTTAACTAAGGAACCTCATTAAAAAAAAAAAAGAGTAACGAGTCTCTTGTGTGCTGAGGACAAACTTGACAAACTTGCGCGCTGAGGAAAAGGTTAGGTAGTCAAACTCTGCCCATTTATACAAATTTGAAGAGCAGGAATGAATATGAATATGAATATAAAGGCATCTTGAACATAAAATGCGCTGCTAAACTGAAGTTAAAAAGTTAAAAGCTGAAGCTCCATCTTAAAATATATAGAATATCCACCTACGTGAGCTAAATGATTCCTATTGTGATATTGAACTTCATGGAGCAATCCAACAACAACATCCACAAAGTCTGAATACCAGAGCATTTTTGGAGGGTTGCTGCCTATGTGTTATGGGACACATTATAGGATCTAGGATAAGAGCATCTTGGGATTGCACTTGACATGGCACTTTTAGGGAATTAATCAAATGCGGGAAATGGGATGGATCTGCGTGATTCAGGGAGGCACAACTGTGGGAAAATAGATATATAAAGGGCTAAAAATCACTGGTTGTGTGTGAATGATTTGCTCATTGATATGCTTGTCCAGCCATCTCTATGCCGGACCAGAGCTATCTGTCCTACTGTGTTACCAGATTCCATTTTTAACTCTTTTCCTGAGTGAGGAACTCCATTTTTATGTATGGGGGGAGCTCTATGTGCCAGCAACTGCAGCAAGACCATGGTTTGGAGGCCCATGTGCCTGAGTGCTGGCACCTGCAGCAGTGCAGGTGCGTGAATGTGTGAGCACTGGCAAAGAACAAGCTGAACTAGTCAGCAAGTAGGTAAGGTGGTCTGGGAGCCATGGTGGGGTATGTGTCTGTAAGGATGAGACCACAGGAGAAGCTGGCAGTCAGACAGACCAAAGGAATCTCAGCCAGCCACTGGAGGAACTGTGGGGTCTGAGGGTCGCTAGGGACAAGACCCAGTGGTGTTTGTATGTGTGCACACATCGAAGGGTAAGACCACAGGGAAGTGGCAACTGGGGGACCAAGAGACTCCCAGCCAGCTGCGAATGTACGTGTGTGTGTATGGGTATGTTTGTACCTCTGTGGATGTGTGTGCCTGTGTGGATGTGCCTGTGTCTGTATGAACACTGGGAGTGCGGCTGCAGCCTCTGGGGCTTGTATGGCCAAGTGCCAGCAACTGGGAGATTGGGATCCAGAGGCAGCCAGTGGGTAGACAAAGTGCCCGAGACCAGCTGCCAGAGGGACATACCCCCACTAGCGGCCCTCCACGGAGTTCAGCCAGAGAAAGGATCAGGATGAGATTATTGGTTATCTTTGTGTTCATGTGAGGTCTCTCTGTATCCTGACTGTGTTGATCTGTGTGGCTGGCCCTGTATATATATATAAGGGAGCTTTGGCAGCCTTGCCTCTCTCAGGCTGTAAGATCTAGCCTAATTCTCCTAACACATACCTTGGAAGACCATGCTTGATCCACATTGCCTGCTCTAACATGTTTTTAGTTGCAAACAAGACCTGTTAGTTTTCCACAGAGCACAATAGATTTACTAACTAGTTCAGAAAGATCTGAAATCCTACAACACCTAGAGTGGCACATAATTTACGTTGCCTGCCAGGGTACTCATTATGCTGCCTGCAAAACACTTGTAACATTTTTACAACTATATCAGGCCCTGGATTAAATCTTAAGAACAAACCCCACCCACCCCACTGTATTTCCATTGCATGTGACTTATTCAACCCTTGAAAGCACATCTAAATGAGCAATCCCTTTCTCACATTAGTCCCTTTGATATACGGCACCAAACCCCCAGGAAGTTATAAAACGTGTATACATATGCCACGTGATACTGGGGCAGTACCTTGTTGTCCAATGCTGTAATCTCCTGTTGATTAGCTGTTGAGAGAAGAAAACTACTCATCTGTCCCTTTAATGGGTCTTCAACTTCTACATCTATGTCATAACAAGCCGTCTTCTTCTGATCATTGGGGTCAACACTATGGAGAGGATAATAGAAGATTGTGAAAACTGACATAATGAGTCAGAGTAAATAGCCATCCAGCCCAGAAAATACTCTTTCAAAAAAACTGTTGCAGATGCTGTGAGAAGAGTTTAAGAACAGGGTACCTTTAACTTGTTGGGTTTTAGGCTTAATTGCCATTTTCTCTTTAGCTTTAAGTTGAAATTTCTTAGCAAGAAAACTTTGTCAACCCAGTAGCTGATAAATCAAACTTCAGTCATGGTCACTTGTAATATAAAAATGCTCCTTCAGAACATTATTTTTGAAATATCTCGGTCGTGTGCACCTGCTGCAGGAAGTAATAAAAAAAAAAAGGACTCAGGATCTAATTGAACTTGTTAGATCTGGGGGAGAAGGAGGTCTTGCATGGATGGATTTGTATTACTGGTGTTTCCAGCAGGTTGAGAGGAATAATCCTCTCCCTCTGTATTCAGCACTGGTGAGTCCACACCTGGAATCCTGTGCCTAGTTCTAGGCTCCTTAACACAAGAGAAACATGGACATACTGGACAGAGTGTAGAGAAGAGCCACGAGGATGATGAAGGGACTGGAGCAGCTCTGCTAAAAGAGAAGGCTGAGAGAGCTGGAACTGTTCGGTCTGGAGAAGAGAAAGCTCGGGGGGGTTTACCCTTGTAGATATAAATACCTGAAGACAGTATGCAAGGAGAACAGAACCAGGCTCTTTTCAATGGTCTGAAGTGGACAGAGATGAGTGGCAATATGCACAAACTCGAGTACAGAAGGTTTCCCCTGAACATCGGGAAACACATCTTTACTGTGAGAAGTGACCAAGCACTGGCACAGATATTGTGGAATCTCCCTCTTTGGAGATCTTCAAAAGCTGCCTGGACATAGTCCTGGGCAACTTGCTCTAAGGAGCCCTGCATGAGCCAGGGAGGCGGTTGGACAAGATAACCTTCAGGGGTTAGAAGACATGGAAAAGGGCAAGGTGCTCAATGGTGTTTTTGCCTCCAGTTGTCCTGGTAAGTTGTGTTCTCAGGCCTCCCTTGCCCCTGAGCCTAGGACGGAGTTGGGGGAGCAGGGCTATTGTGAAAAACCTTGACAAGTTGAATAAAGAGGACAGCAATTCAACATCATAAGGTTCAACACAGGCAAATACAAAGTTCTGCTCTGAACAATCCCATGCACTGGTACAGGTGGGCATCAACTGAGCAGAAATCAGCTCTGGAAAGGAAAGAACCTATTCCCTGCTATGCCACACTTGTGTATCTTGACTTCTGGGTGCAGGACTAGGAAGACATGACATACTGTAGTGAGCCCCTCATCAGGCCATGAGAATGGCTGGGGACTGGAGCACATGGAATCACAGAATGGTTTGAGCTTGAAAGGACCTTACAGATCATCTAATTCCAACCCCCTGCCATGCGAAGGGACACATCCCGCTACATCAGGTTGCTCAAGGTCCCATCCAACCTGACCTTGAACACTTCCAGGGATGGAGCATCCACAGCTTCCCTGGGAAACTGTTCAACTCTTTGTCAGGGAGTGTAGTGATAGGACAAGGAATAACAGCTTTAAACTAAAAAGGGTTGGTTTTCATTAGCTCTAAGAAGGAAATTATTTACTCAGATGATGGTGAGGCACTGGAACAGGTTGCCCAGGGAAGTGGTTGGAATTAGATGATCTTTAAGATCCTTTCTAACCCAAACTATTCTGTGATTCTATGACTTCTTAACCACTTCTTCCTCCAGGGCTTTGTCCCATGGTACTCTACCAAGCAGATCCCTGAAGAGGACAAAGTCTGCTCTCCCAAATTCCAGGGTAGCAAGTTTGCTGTGCTCCCTCCTTGCTGCATTCAGAATCCAAAACTGCACCATTTCATGATTGCTTCAGCTAAGGCAGCCTTTGAGTTTCACATTCCCCACTAGACCCTCCTTGTTTGTGGGAATGAGATCCAGCATAGCACCTCTCCTTGTTGGCTTCTCTGTCACTTGGAGAAGGATGTCATCAGTGCATTCCAGGAACTTCCTGGATTGCCTAGGCCCTACCGTGCTGTCCCTCCAACAGATGTCAGGGGGGCTGAAGTCCTCCATGAGAACCAGGGCTTGCGAACATGAGGCTTCTATCTGTTTATGTGCATTAGCATACAGACATTTAAGTTGGGCCCGTGATGAAGCTGACTTACTGGCTGGAGTGGTGGACTTCTTTTGTGCTGGTCTTCAGGTTCTCTTCTGCTGATTTGTGACCCTCCTCCAGACTCTGGGCATCTGTCACTGACACTGGCATCAAACTGGGAGGAGAGGGATGGATTGAGATTCCCCTCCCCTGGCAGCTATAGTTTAAAGCCCTCTTCACCAGCTTGGCAAGCCTATGATCAAAGATGCTTTTTCCACTTCTCTGACAGGTGGATCCCCATCAGCCCCCAGCAGATCAGGTTTCTCAAAGAGAATCCCACGGTCTAGCTAGCTGAACCCCTGCCTGCGGCACCAGTCACGCAACTATCTGTTGATTTGCCAGATTCAACCGGCCTTTTAAATCCCCTCTCCTTTGACTGGCAGGACTGATGAAAAATCTACCTGTGCTCACGAGTCCTTTACTACTGCTTCCAGGGCTTTGTAATACCTAATGCCTACACCAAGAGAAGCTGCAAGAGTTGCATTTGTCCAGCCTTAAGAAGAGACAGAGAAGAGGAGATCCTATTGCTGAGTGCAACTGCCCTATGGGAGGTACAGTGAAGACAGAGCAAGGCTCTTCTTGGAGGTGCACAGCAACAGGCAACAGATACCCCTTGTAACATGGGAAACTGACTCAATGTAAGAATTTTTTTTTTTTAATTTTTATATAAATCATGATGGTAATCAAAAGGGAGGAATCAAATACTAACTTGTTTGCAATATAAGAACATTGGAGACCTACGCTTTGTAGTATTCTTGTGCAATTTTAAGAGTGTGGGAGATGACTTGTTTCTTTGCAGAAATGGGAAATGCCATGTGTTTCTCTTTCTACCTCTGATTTCAAGTCTGTCAGCAACAATGAGGAGTAAAATTCAAGAAAGGCTCCAGCTCTAGATTGAGCTCAGGTAAGAATATTTTACTTCTATGAGTTTTAAATCTGGTGCACTCAGTATTGCAGAGATAAAAACACTACTATCTATTTTCTACTGCATCCTCTTTCAGTCTATCTACCATTTAAAGTATTTACCCATACTAACAGCTTTCTGTTTAACTCTATTTAATTTCCATTGCATTTTTGTTATTTTCTTTAACAAAAAGCATGGATGGTGTCTGAAGAGCAGGACTAAAATGCTGTTGGGAGGGGAGAAGCCTCAGATGACCACAAATTATACCTTCTACTCTACACTATTCTGTTCCTTTAGCAGTCTGAAAATTTACTTATTCCCATTACATTCAGTGCCAGATTTCTATTTGCTTTGCCTGAGACTGTAAAGACTCTATTGAAAAAGTACCACCTACTCTCAGCACATTAATACTTCCCCCTATCCACAGCTTTATGTCACTATGTCACTGCAGAGTAATATTGCCAGGTGCTGCATGATGCACACAGTGTATCAGAGAAGCTACTATACACAAGGTCCTCTTCTTTAGCTTCTATCTAACAGACATGATCTTGCCCCCAGGACTTCTTTGCATTTTAAGCAAAGAAAAGTAGAGTGCCACTCTACTGAAAATAATTCATAACTTTACAGACATAAAGAATTAACACACAATCCAAAGCACTCACTTGGATGTTAGAAAACCTGGATTCTGGTCCCGGCAACCACAGCAGTTTCTCTGTTTTAGACAGTGTATGATTTGCATGTGACAGTGCTGAGCTGACTGATCAGCTTACCTGATGATATGGTTTATCACTATAGGGTCTGGAGGCAGCAGTAGGTTAGTGAGTCTCTGAGGAATTTCAGAAAACTTTAGCCGGGGACAGTCAAAGATCTGGAATATAATAAAAGCATATTATCCTTGTCCAAAACCTAATTTGCAATTAAACAAGTAAATCAATTAGACCCTTTCTTCTTGGAAAGGCTATGACTTTTTTAGGAGTGAGGAACCACCTTGATGTGTTTTTTGATAACACTGCACACGGAGGCATTTACTATATTTGTTACAGTGTCTGTTGAAAGCCATTCAGCATTGAAGAAACTGCAAATTATTAAGGGAAAACAAAATTCAGTAATTTCTGTCCATCCAAAATTTGCAGATGGATATTATAGATTGCCTCTGAATAGCTGTGTCCAAATAGGAGATACCTGCTGGAAGTACTTGTCACAATTAATGTATTCCTTGTCATGGGAGTCTTGCAGCTTATTTGTTTTGATGTACTGCCAGAGAGCCTGGATGATGGCAGATCGGGTCTGTGTGTGTATCCCCAGCAAACGTGCTAATCGTGGGTCCAGTTTAAACTGTGGAGGCTGCAACAGAAAGAGAAGAAGGGAGAGATGGCAATGGAGAAAAAAGTAGATGCATGCACTGATAGAGATTTTCAGCTTTAGTTCTTTAGGGACTTTGTTCCTCTGGTGAAATACCCCAGTCAGTGGTAGGTTATAGAAATGTAAACTGCCCGGATGTGTACCACGGTCGTGCTCTGGAACAGCTATGTCTAGCATTTGAAAAAGAAAGACGGACATTGTTCATGTGCTATGCACAAAGACTACCTAAATCACATGCTTTAGATAACGAGGTGCTTGCAGAGTCAGAAAATAATTTTCCTGTTTACTGTTGATGCATAATCTGACTTCAGGAAGCAGGAGATGAAGAAGAATGGTCCTTCCTCTGAAATACTGGAGATTAACCAGATAGGGAGCATGAAGTCAGGATGATGCTTCTGCTGTTCCTAACAATTGATCAGCTGCCTCCTACCAACAAATTCCCTTGGAACTCTGTTTTCCCAGCATGTTCCCAACATTCTGCTGCAAAACAGAAAATTTACCTGACCACAACTACTCAATGGAATATATTTCTTCTCCTGACCTCTGTGTTACAATTCTTCAATTACTCTCTTTTACATCTCTAATTCCTTAGACACCTTAGAGTCTGGTGCTTCTTCAGGTGTACCCATGCTCATATTTAATATTTGTCACATTCTTCAGCAAGGATTACCTTGTTGGGTGCCTGGACACCCAAAGCCAGATTTATAACAGGACTTCAGGATAAGAGAACATCTATTTAAAAGAATAAATTTATAGTAATGGTGAACATAACAAACTCTAATGATATTTTCCTAGCCATAAGGATTCTTACTGGCTCTATTGGTATCCCAGTTAGCTCACACACTCCCTAAGATAAGTAAAATTTCCTATAAACATAAAATGTAGTGTCTTTATTCTGGATAGATGCCATTTGCATTGGGGAGGGGGAAGCGAATGGCGCACAATGAATTCTTAAAGTTATACAATAAAAATGTATCTAAGACTGAACTGCCATTGAAAAGGGAGATCCTATCTCTTCACAGCAGTGCATTTTTATCCTTTTCCTTAAGACAGTGACCTCTCCCTTCCCTTCCCTTCCCTTCCCACTCTCCTTTCCCTTTCCTTTTCTGTTTCCATTTCCTTTATTTCCCTTTTTGCAGAATATCCTTATTTATCCTCCTTTGCTTTTTGTTGTTGTTTTTTGTTTGTTTCCCGTGACTGCAATCAGAAAACTGATTTGGAACTAAGCTTTGCTAACTCTGAAATGAATCAATTCCCTGACTTTTTTTTTTGTGTGTTCAGCCCACAAATATTACTAATACAATCAAACTAGTACTGACAAAAGAGAGGAAGAAGAAATGCCTGGACTTGAGTCTATCCCTTCCAGGGCAATGTTTTATACCAGATTATAGTGACAATGTAACCAAAGTTTAATAACCCCAGAAATCTGTGTGGTCTGCTCTGAAAAAAATGCTGCCACAGCTACACAGCTGGTTCAGGCATCACTAGCAATAGCCACTCTTTTAAACCACAATGTGTAGGACCCGCCCCCCCACACACACACCTCATGTGCATCTTATCTTACTATGTTGTAAGAAGCCTGAGGAGGAAATGCATATACTTTCTGCAGGTGTTACTAATCACCATCATGCCAAGAATAATATTTTGCTAGACTACAGCAAAAACTTACTTTATGTGTCCCCTTAATATTTTAAATCATCTGGCAGTTTGGTATCATTCTAACCTCTTTCAACCACGTGAAGTTTTGTTTCCAAATATATTATCTTTTGAGGTATGTAAGGGGATGAATTTGCTTTGTTCTGATGAATTTGTTCTATGCCCCAATGGATGTATTCTCCATAGCAAAAGCAACGCACTGACCTGGTAATCCAACATGAGGAGTAATGTGCACCGCACACTGACATCACCAGGTCTTTTCACCTGGAAGCCATCAGTCTCCTGAGTTGTGGGAGTTCTGTGCCACTGCCAAAGGAAATAAAATTAACGTGGTCAGTCTTTTTTCACTGATATGGGAAACTGTATGTGAATCTTGCACAGCACTCCAAGCAAGAATAAGACAAGTAACAAGACTCCTTAAGATCTTGCAATTAAACAAACAAACAAACAAACGAGCAAAATCTCCACCATTTCTTGCTCTGCTCTTACAGTACAGCCTGTTGTGATGCTAGTGCTTGTCAGGACAAATGCGCACAAATGTTTTAATTACATATATTCTTCTTTTAAGAGATACCCTACATCACTACTACATCTGTAATTCTGAAACCTTTGAAAACACCTTAAATAAGTCAGTGGAGGCAAGGTAACTTAAACAAGGCAGATAACAGGCACATAGCTGTTCATCTGTTATAGTACTGGGCTTGTTGCAAACGTGCATTAACTTCTTACCTCCACAAGGTGGTTGTCAGGTCCATAAAGATCTTTGTCCAGTTCAATGACTAGACTCTTAAAAAATGATGAGAACTTCCGTTTCTGCTTGCTTAGCTGTATAATCAAAACAAAAGGAAATGTTTAAGACTGCATATATTACCCTGTGTTCTGTGCTTCCTTTTTGAGCTTTCTCTTTCTCTTGAACTTTAACTCCCATATAGATCACAAGAGTGAACAATCTAATTGAGATTTCCCTCTGATAAATGCAGGGAAATATGCAAAAATCTAGAAGTGGTAGAACAGTATACACTGAAGGAAAGATTTCCCTGACTGTCTTAATGTTATCATAAAGAACTGCCTTTTGATGTGAACAAGATAACTGTATGCCTTTTATTTTAACAGTTTGTATTTTTTTTAATAAATGCTAAATTATTGTTCTGACTTATCAGATAGCAGTAAGTTTTTACAGATTAGTCATATCCTAAGTAAAAGTATTTCCTTTACATTTTGCCTTTTCATTTAATTAGCAGTATTCACCATTTACTATGCAGTTTATATCGTCTAAATTAAAAGCTGGGAGGTCTATGTTATATATTCTGACTTTCTGGAGAATACAGTCCACAGCATTTAAATGGATTTCTTACCTAAAGCAGAAGATATTTTGGAAGTACATACTTCTTTGATTTAAAATTTGCCAGTAACTGAAGATCCACAATAAAAACTGGCAAGTTTATCCAATAAAGTTTTTTTTGTTGTTGTTGTTAAAATCTATGCTCTAATTACTAATCTGAATTTGTCTAACTTCAGTTTCCAGATGCTGCAGTTTGTTTACCCTTCATTTTCTAGCAAGATTCTGATCCTGATTCATGTATTGTTATCTCCAGAAAGATAGGCACGTCTTAAACATTTTTCTGTCTCCACACAAGTACAATCTCCATCTGTTTATCTTATCAAATACTTTTATTGTAAAGTGAATAGGTGACACCTTTATTAGGAAAGTCCAGCCCTCCCAGAGGAAAGTGAAATCCATCGCAGGGGTTTCTGATCACTTAGTTAATAAAACCTTTTTTCCATCCTTGCTCTGACCATCCATACATCCTCTTGCACTCACCATATGCAATGGCCTGCTCTAGACCTGACTTACCACTCCAATCGTGGCCTGAATCCTGCCATATTTTTCCAGCAGTATTCTCTCCAACTCATCGTATCTATTCTGTCCTTAAGTCTGCTCTATTTCCTGCTGCCCTCCCCAACTCTCTCCAACATTCCCACTATGTTTTTGTATCCTTCACTCCTTCTGTTGGACATGGTGTCTTCCCAGCAAAAACAAGCCAATGCTGCCATTCTGAGTTAATGATCCCAGTAAAGTCCATCATAACCCTACAGGACAATCTCTAGATCCTTGCCAGCCCCATTGAAGCACAGGTAAGTCTTACATCATCCAGGAGCTTCCCCTCCACTCGAAGCTCCCACGATGCGATGCTGCCATCAGAGTCATCAGCGTCAGATTTTGCAGGATTAAATGTGTTGGAGATATAAAGTCTCAGTTTCCGCTTTTGCTGTTACACAAATAGAAAAAAGAAAAGTACATATCCAGATTAAGTCCAGGACCTGAGGCAGCCACGTGAAATATCACACTTTTAGTACAAAATCTGCATGTTTAGTACAGTTGGACCAGGTTACATGAGAATTTAAGATTTGGTTATGCATAAGAAAATTCACTGAAGAGCTGAATCTGGTACTTCTTTTCAAAACCAATTGGTAATATAAACACACTAAGAATTTGCTGTAAGTGGAGAAAGGCAGGAGTTTGCAGGGCCAAGCCCTTGAGGGCTATGTAACCTGTACTTCTGGTTTATATATTTGAGAAATCATTTTCAGAAAAGCACCACACAATGCCCTTTCTTTCTGGATACTAGCTGGATTGATAAAATTCAGCTGCACACCTTCTGCTACGTGAATGTCTTTCACAGCTGTATCAGTTCAGATTTGTAAATGGCATTCACAAATCCAGCTAATGCTTCATATTACATGCTCCGCACATCTCCGTCCATCTTCATTCCACCGTCATGTAGAGCTTGGTATAATCTTCCACACCCTCTTGCCCCCACATCGACACTGACACGTCCCTGCTTCCTAACCTTCCCTTTTAACTCTCTTTCACTCTAATCAAACAGATGGCAGCTCCAACATGCTGTGAGACCTGTGTGGAGGAAGGCACTGTGCTTCATCCCTAAGCTAGGTGCTCAAGTCTTTAAGAGAGAATCATGCCTACCTATTGGCATTTTTACAGGCTATCTAAGAGAGTTTCCCAGTCACTGTACTGTCTTATGGCTACCTTATTCTTCAGTGCCCTTCTCTCCCATGCACTATGTGGAAAACTTGGCCATGGATTGATGCATGGATTCCTGAAGAGTTATCACCAAAATTCATTTGAGATTCTAATCTCAAATATCTGTCTATAATATAATAGCAAAAAGGCTGAAGTCATCAAATTAATGCAGTCAAAACAACCTTCACCTAACATAAAAAAGGAGCAGTCTTGTAAAGCTCTCATACATACACACACACAGAGGCAGACACACACAAAGAGGTACGGGAGAGATGTAAGTCTATAGAACAGAAGATGCAAATTGCATATACGAGGTCAGAGAACTGAAAATCTGATACAGCACAGCGGAATATGGGAGGAAGAGCTGTATGGCCCACATGGAACAAGAACATTACTACAAATCCAGAGACCACAGTGACAGAAAGGTTTGATTAAAATGGAGGGTCAACAGTATGCAGCAAGAGAGAATAGGATTTTCAGAAGTGCCAAGAGTCTAGAAAATGACGGGTTGACACAGGTAAGAACAGGCAGGTAGGTTTAAAAAAATCCTGGAAATCCTTATTCTTTCTGCATCCCTTCCTACACGATTTCTGTTGCCGAAGTACTCTTTCACTATATATGTATATATATATATATTTTTTTTTAACACCCCAGAATCTTTTTTTGCTGTGAAGGACTAGTGAAAGACTTCACATTTCTAAATTCACAATTCTTCATATTAACCTGCAAATTTTATGTTTTTCTTAAATTTTATCCCCACCTGGATTATTTGCAAAACTGTATCTATGTACATAAGCAGTTTTTTTTTTTTTTCTCCTTAATGGTTCCTTCTGGATGCTCTACAGATATTTCAGTTTTATATCACTGATTCTATTTCCTCTTCTTTTGATTTCCAATGCATTATGTCCACTACTGCTTTTACTCTGGCAACTCACCCACTCCTCATACCTCTCCATGTGTGTTGGGTCTGTCAGGTAGGAACTGTATCTGCTGTATCTGCTTCCTCAAAAGCCTGATGTCTCATCACTATGATCATTCTCTGCAATAACATTCTTGTTCACATCTGAGTATTTTAGATGTCTTCCTTTCTCCTGGCTTTCAGGTTCTAGGTTCCTCAGTTCACCAGAGTTAGCAACAATGCCTAATTCCACTATATAATACAAAAATCTCTCCTTCAATACTTTCCACTGTTATCATTTTTCTTTCAAGTCATGCACAAGTCAGGTGCAGCTTACATTTCAGGACTGGTCTCCTGCTGTGTTCCCTGTACTTTCCCTGCTCTGCCAAAGTCAGAGTCAGCTTATCATTAATTTCTTCTACATTTCTCTCTTCAATTTATGGTCTTTCTTTCTATGCAACAAGTTCTCTTTCTCAAGTTTAACAACATAATCCTTTCCTCACTGTAACCCTGATAAGTCAGCCCACTTCTTCTACACTGCCATCAGAAAGGAACTTAGAATAATTATGAATAAAAATCCTACGTAATGACTATCTTTACAGTTGTAGTCACTACTGCCAACCAGTAAATCTGGTGGAAAGCTGAGCCCTTAGTCTCTACTAAGCAAAGATATTCCATCTGATAAGCGAAATGGGTAACCTGCACCCTGTGGGTTGTCTTCGAGTTTGATCAAAAAGATACTGCAAATTTGCAACACTATTAAGACAACGATTATCTCTTATATGCAACACAAAGAAATATCCTTGATCATAACAAACACCTAAGGAATCAAACAGCAACTGCACAGCTGCAATAGAACACCAACAGCAAAGGGGCTTTAAATTTAATTTAAAAATTTATTAGAACCTGAAATGGCATAAGGGATCATAAAGAAAGAAAACTCACATTTTTTGGTGTTTTTTTTTTCCTTTCTTTTTTAATACTTTAAAAATTAAAATAGTAATAGTAATAATAATTTCTTCATGGTTGCCCTTAGTCTAGCAACTCTCAGTAACTCGCTGGGTTGCAGAAAACTCTGCAGAGTCACTTCTGAGGAGACACAGAGAATTCTATCTTTTAATTCTCTAAGATCCAGCTGTGTTTCTGCTATTGCTTTCTGTCTCAAGCATCTCCAAATTTCTGCTTGTGCTTCAGCCTTCTTCTATGTGGCAGTCCTTTACCCTGTTTGCCTCTCTGACTACCCTCCCCTGCAATCCATATGGAACAATCTCCCCCTCCCTGTGAGGGCTCTAGCGGGCCAAATTCACCTTAGGACATGGCAAACACCAGCCTTCCTCTATGCAGCTGTGCTACCACCCTTTAAAGAGAATTTACATAATGAACTGCAAGCGTGTCAGCGATGGTAATTGTCACAATCAAAATCTCTAGACCTGATCTGCAGAATGCAGCCAGATCTGCCAAAGACATTCTGGTAAGCAGCCTAAAAAAAAAAGTGAAAAAGGTATTTGGGCAATTAACATTGCTTGAACAGCCAAACACATTGTTCTCTGTGCAGCACTGTACTGACTTGGAAATGTGCCAGCCTCCACAACTACCTCTCTGAGGCTGCAGCCAACATGTTCACCTCCTGTTTGGTACTTTATAGGTTACTGCTCCATCTTTTCCTTCTTCTGGCATGTCAAGAAAATACATTCAGAAATCTCTAGCAAAACATCAGAATCATAGCCCTACAAAGATGTTATTTGGATCAGTAGGCTCCATTTCCTCTGTCACGACGTTCTCCTGACAATTCTGAGCCACTACTGTCTCACCTGATGAGGCAAGATCCTTTTATACTTTTATAAACACAGGTTTAGTATGAATCCTTCCTGAAGGGATCTACCCAATGAGCTACGACTTCAGTGCTTGCAGCAATAACGCTATCACAAGGATGTCCAGTCTTGGAAGAAAACTGAATTCAAGAAAGAAGAATATGAAGATAGCACAGGCTGGGGTTCTACAGACACTGTACAGATCATAATGTTTCCTACGTTGAAGACGCACCCAGAATCATTGCGCTCAAATTCACTTCTTGACAGTACTCTGAGGTTCCACAATAATGTCAAGTGCAAATCCCGAAGGCTCTGAGAATGATATATTCTTCTATCTCCAGCTAAGCAACTCCATCTCATCCAGGCAAGAAATGATCCTATGTCAGTTAGGTACAATTGGTTATTTTGCAGTTCAAATACAGCACTGCAATATTCTTGGACGAGAAGCTGCTTTCCTTCCTACAGAAGGAAATTCTGCAGAAATTCCAAGCAATGCATATTCTACCAAAGACCTAAAATCAATCCTTCCCTCTGTATGGAGGCTTCTCAGAGAATAGAAAAAAAAAAACAAACCGTGGCCTTGTTTTTTACACATAGGACTCTCAGTACTTTGTAACAAAAACTAGAGGGAAAAGATACTGCTCTAGAGCAAGAAGAAGGCATCACATTTCATCTCTTCAAACACACTGAAGTTTTACCATCCACAAAGACAAAGCTAAATGAGAGGGGAACTTCATGTAGACTTGATTGATGTTATGAATCAAATCTTGACCAAAAATCAATAAATGCTTAATCTGCTTATTAAGATACACATCTTTTAACATGCTTTTTTGACTTGTATTCAGCAAAAGGACTTTAAATTGCAATCATATTAAAAAGAAAAAACAACTCCCCAAAGCCCTGTATTTTATTTACAATTTCTCCTTGTGAAAGAGAAAAGGAAAAAAGAGCCACCAGTGACAGAAGACTGGTCAGCCACGAACTGCTGCAAAGGTCTCACCTGTGACAGCAGCACAAACGGCAGGAGAGCTCATGTGGAATTAAACAGATCAAAACAAGAGGCTGACAGAAATGCTGGAGCAGGACTACAGCTTCTTCTCTGTCTTACCACAGTCATAAGCTGGCTATCTATTGTTGACTGAATAAAAGAAATCTGGCTGCCAAACCCCTGGGTAGTATTGTCTTGAGCTCTATGCATATCTTAAGGTTGAATTTCCATGTACCTCAACACAGCATAAAAAAATCTGTATTTCTTTCTTTGCATATTGACTGGTGGTCTCACAAACTTTTTAGGAAGCAAAAAAACAAACAAACAAACAAACAAAAACAGTGGAAGATAAAGTAGCATGGAGAGTTGAAGTCAGATGAGACAAAAAGAACAATGGCCACTAGTTACAAGTGTTCTTCAACAACAAAAACTCCAAAAGGGTAAAAAAATATTATTGAGGAATAAAATGGAGAATATTATGACCAGTAACCTGCAAAAGCAATTATAGCATCTTATTTTGCAGTTTTCTA